AACTGTCGCGGCATACACTCGACCCTTCACAGACAGCCGGATGTCGCGACGGCGCCACAGATGTCTCAACCGAGCCTTCTGTATGCGAGCTGACACTTCGTCCGTAATGCGTCCACCGGGTGAGATATAGCTGCCCAGATAACAAAACTTATCCACCTGCTCTATTACTTCTCCATTTAGAGTGAGGCTGGGTGCTGAACCAACCCAATCTTGTAGTAGCATTTTACNATGTGGCTACACTGGCATTCAACTTACCCAGAAATGCTTGCAACTTACATGGATCTTCACTTAGTAGCACAATGTCGTCTGCGTACTCCAGATCAGACAGCCTGCCACCTGGAAGTAAATCTATGCCACTATCTTCGCACGAGGATAGAGCTGTTTCCATAATCAGATCTATAAGAAAGTTAAATAGAAAAGGAGAAAGAGGGCAACCCTGACGAACACTTTCCGTGGTGAGCTCGGGTGAAAACGTGCCGTAAGCCCGGACTCGACTTCGGCTATTAGTATAAAGCGATCGTAATATTGAAATTAACTTTTCGGGCACACCTTTCAGAAAAAGGCAGCGCCAGAGTTTAGAGCGGTCGGCTGAGTCCAAAGCCGCTTTCAGATCTAGGAAGTTATAGTTAAGTTATCCCACTAACCTCGTATGCATTGCGAGTTTGGAAAGCGTTAGTGGTCTTCGTCTCAGTGTACTTCGCTGTACGATGATGGTTATGCTAACGAATGTGTTGACCATGCTGTTCAACTTATTTTTCTCAAACAGACCAACCATATATATCCATATCTAACATGCCTGTCCTCTACATAAATTGTTTTGCGACTATCAGCAAAGCTTATCTCATACTATTTTGCTCTGCGATAATGTTGATACTGACGAAACAATCTTTAAAATTTTTCACAAACCTGTCGCTCGAATTTGTACGAACCTCCATGCCATTCTCCAAACCTAATCATTTTTACTGCCAGAAAAATAATGAATTTTTCCAGTGATGATGACGCATTGGCTTAGTCGCTGTCGCAGGCGTGCTTCGGACCCTATGGTCCGGGGTTCAAGTCCCGCCACCNCGCCACCCAGCTTTAGTGGTAGGCAGCTTTGCTGTCGTCCGGTTCAATACCACGCCCAACCTATTGGGGCCCTGTGTGGTTCACCACTCCAAGTCCCGGGGCTTAGGTTCCCGGTTTCCATCAATGAATCACAGGTCCTCGTGAATATGGTGTTTACCCCATCTGTTCATCACATGCAAGTGTGTAATAAAAAAAGTAATACAACTCCTTGGGTTCAGCCTTTATATCGGATCGAACAACCCCGAATTATCCTACTTTCACTTCGGAGACTGAGCCACAATAGTAGGGCTATGCCCACATTGATGATTGCAGGATTCGTTGTGGATGTGTTTCAGCTTATTTAACATCAACGATCTATAACCAACGTTCCATGGACTGTCAAATTATAATTAGCCAATGAAACAACGTAATTGGTTGGATGCACAAGTTACAGTGCGGTAGCCGTTGATTACGGACCGGGTTTGTTGAAATTTCTCTGTTTTCCGTTGAAACAGGTTATACACCCTTGAGACTGGTCTTCGTATTGTGGTTTCTAATATAAAACAACGCGAGGTTTTGCAAGTAAATTAAAACAGCTTTCGTTTTGATTCATCATTTATTTGGCTTCCCTAGAAAACTACGGGAAAGTAATCTACATAAGTGATTTGAATGTAGATTTCTAAATACCAACCTCCTTAGTGAACATATAAACTAAATTTCATTTTAATTAAACATAAAGTTTGCATTCATTCTGGAATTGTCGAAATTTATGCGTTGTGCTGAGTTTCCTTATGCATTGTTTCTTATAACACAGCTCACTAACTTTGGATCAGAGATTGTTCAAGCAACTTCGATACAGCTTTGAACCTATATAAAGATAATGCTTTTAATCATGTGATAGCAAGCTATGAACTTCACCTCGATGTATTTCGCTGTGTAGTGTTGATGTTATTAGAAGTGCAATTCCTAAGTCTCAAAGGGAATCAAACTTTATACCGTGATGACACTGTTCGTCCTTAGCATTCTTCGTCCACAGGTTTCGCCATACCGAACATTCCGTTATTGAATCTGGCATTCTGACTAGAAACTCAGAGTAGGAAGTAACCACACATTGCACACGTACAGTACAATTTTTCCAGTTTAATAAGTACTGCCAACAATTAGTCTGTGTAACGTGTCTTGTGTAACATCGGTAACTGCACTAATCAGGCTTTCGATACGAGCGTAATTTTTCTCGCCATTGTTCCACTTTCAGCCCCTGGTATGGTCCCGCCTCCCTACGGTCCTATGGCTAGTAATTATTGGGGTACCACAACAATGTACCCTCCGGCTGTCCCAAATCCTCCGCCGCCACCGCCTCCAGGAGTATAAACTGCTTTCTTGAAAATGTATGGGGTTTGATACCTGTCCCGTTGTATTATGATCGAGTCACCCCTCTGGTCCCCCGTTATCTCGCTGTAGGTCATGTACAAAAAAAAACGTTTCATGTATGGATCTCTTGGTCGTGTCGATTTTCTTCCTTGTTCCAATGTTCTGGAGCGCACTGTCCAATACAGTTTTCGCGGCAATTTTTAATTTTCTTTCATTGGAATATCTACAGAACAGTGATCACCGAACTAAACGGGGAATGTCGGATAAGAAAGTAAAGTAAACAAAGTTGTCCATGCATTTGAAGCCTGCAGCTTGCTGTTTCATTAGTTTGAGCGCGATCACACACAGAATCCGTTTGGTACAATGACTTGCACGTGAACTTTTAACCAGACTGCACGGAATAACTCTTGAAACCGAAAAGTTTCGTCCGGTAGGTTAGTTAGTAGCAGCAGGACAGTTTGGGTTTCCGGTAATCCATTTACACATGAAATTCTTTTGATAGCTCTCGTCAGCTGTTTTATGGTTAGGTCCTTTATAGTACCAAGTTCTTAGTCCAATAACTCTCATGCGCTCATTGGTTGGATTTATGTAGTGTGCATGTTCACAACGCAAGTAAAGCTATCTCCGCCAGTCCTCGCTTCATTAAAAGGTTCGCCCTGCCCACTACTCTAAGCGTGGCAGCAACTGACTGATCAGGTATTCAATAAATATGTGATTGCTCTTATTCCTCTGGTCATCTTCCGTAGTACCATCTGATTCCTTTGGGTTACTTTGCTGCTCCCCATTGAAAAGGTTTTGGTTTCAGGAGCTGACATTCACTGGTTCTGAGATCTGAGCGCGGTGGTGGCCCGGTGGTAACGTCACCAATTATCACCCCGGAGCACGAATGTTCGGATCCCACCACCACCTGACTTTCCCCATTTGTGTATTGTATGACAGCCCTTTGATTGATCGCTTCCCCCTCCTGAAAAATTGTATCTTTGCGCATTCAATAAATGGAAGTAAAATGAAAAGAAAAGATCCTTCAATGTGTAACCAATCAGATTATCTAGCATAGGTCGAGTCTTTTGGTACTCGATGTCAACTCAAGAAGAACCGTGAAAACTGGTGGGCAAATAGCTGGTGAAATGAAGTAACCGCTGCATCAGGGAGCAGTAGACTGTTTTAACATACTCAATACCGGGAGACGGCGTACCCCAGTTAGTGAAACAGTCTGCGGTAATATTGGTCAAGATATTCACAATATGGAACAGCGGCTTGGCCGATGGTCGGAGTACTTCGACAAAGCCGTTCGAAGTGTAGTGATGCTGTAGGACTGCGTTGGTTGGTTCTATTTGGAATTGCCCGAGTTCGACAGATTCTCGCCTTTGGGCCGTTGTCTGCCTACTGACATTCT